AAGCAAAGTGTTTTCTTTCTAATTGTAATTCTATAGCAGCAGCTAAAACAGTTACAAAAACTGCATATGCATATGAAGTATCTATAGCACGACAAGGTTTGCATTGAATTAAAAGCAAAGTTTCTAAAAAAGTTGCCTAAAATTGTGCATTGAATTAAAAGCAAAGTTTCTAAAAAAGTTGCCTAAAATTATGAATTGAATTAAAAGCAAAGTTTCTAAAAAAACTCCCTAAAATTGTGCATTGATCTAAAAGCAAAGTTTCCAAAAAAGTTGCATAAAAGTGTGCATTGAATTAAATGCAAAGTTTCTTAAAAAATTCCCTAAAAATGTGCATTGAATTAAAAGCAAATTTTCTAAAAAAAATCCCTAAAATTGTGCATTGAATTAAAAGCAAAGTTTCTAAAAAATTTCCCCAAAATTGTGCATTGAATTAAAAGAAAAATTTCTAAAGAGTTTTCCTAAAATTGTGCATTGAATTAAAAGCAAAGTTTCTAAAAAAGTTCCTTAAAATTGTGAATTGAATCAAAAGCAAAGTTTCTTAAAAAGTTATCTAGAAATGGGCATTCAAATAAAAACAAAGTTTCTAAAAAATTTCCCTAAAAATGGGCATTGAATTAAAAGCAAAGTTTCTAAATAATTTCCCTAAAAATGGGCATTGAATTAAAAGCAAAGTTTCTAAAATGTTCCCTAAATTTGTGCATTAAATTAAATGCAAAACTTCTAAAGGATTTACCTATAATTGTGCATTGAATTAAAACAACGTTTCTTAAAAAGTTCCCTAAAATTGTGAATTGAATCAAAAGCAAAGTTTCTTAAAAAGTTATCTAGAAATGGGCATTGGAATAAAATCAAAGTTTATTAAAAAGTTCCCTAAAAATGGACAATGAGTTAAAAGCAAAGTTTCTAAAAAATCTCCCTAAAATTGTGCATTGAATTAAAAGCAAATTTTCTAGTAAAGTTCCCTTAAATTGTGAATTGAATCAAAAGCAAAGTTTCTTTAAAAGTTATCTAGAAATGTGCATTGAAATAAAATCAAAGTTTATTAAAAAGTTCCCTAAAAATGGACAATGAATTAAAAGCAATGTTTCTAAATAATTTCCCTAAAAATGGGCATTGAATTAAAAGCAAATTATCTATAAAAGTTCCCTGACACTGTGCACTGAATTAAAAACAAAGTTTCTAAAAAATTTATCTAAAAATGGACAATGAATTAAAAGCAATGTTTCTAAACAATTTCCCTAAAAATGGGCATTGAATTAAAAGCAAATTTTCTATAAAAGTTCCCTAAAATTGTGCACTGAATTAAAAACAAAGTTTCTAAAAAATTTATCTAAAAATGGGCATTGAATTAAAAACAAAGTTTCTAATAAATTTATCTGAAAATGGGCATTGAATTAAAAGCAAAGTTTCTAAAAAAATTTCCCTAAAAATGGGCATTGAATTAAAAGCAAAGTTTCTAAAATTTTCCCTATATTTGTGCATTAAATTAAATGCAAATCTTGTATAGGATTTCCCTAAAATTGTGCATTGAATTAAAAGCAACGTTTCTTAAAAACTTCCCTAAAATTGTGAATTGAATCAAAAGCAAAGTTTCTTAAAAAGTTATCTAGAAATGGGCATTGAAAAAAAATCAAAGTTTATTTAAAAGTTCCTTAAAAATGGACAATGAATTAAAAGCAAAGTTTCTAAAAAATCTCCCTAAAATTGTGCATTGAATTAAAAGCAAATTTTTTAGTAAAGTTCCCTTAAATTGTGAATTGAATCAAAAGCAAAGTTTCTTAAAAAGTTATCTAGAAATGTGCATTGAAATAAAATCAAAGTTTATTAAAAAGTTCCCTAAAAATGGACAATGAATTAAAAGCAAAGTTTCTAAAATTTTCCCTATATTTGTGCATTAAATTAAATGCAAATCTTGTATAGGATTTCCCTAAAATTGTGCATTGAATTAAAAGCAACGTTTCTTAAAAAGTTCCCTAAAATTGTGCACTGAATTAAAAACAAAGTTTCTAAAAAATTTATCTAAAAATGGACAATGAATTAAAAGCAATGTTTCTAAACAATTTCCCTAAAAATGGGCATTGAATTAAAAGCAAATTTTCTATAAAAGTTCCCTAAAATTGTGCACTGAATTAAAAACAAAGTTTCTACAAAATTTATCTAAAAATGGGCATTGAATTAAAAACAAAGTTTCTAAAAAATTTATCTAAAAATGGGCATTGAATTAAAAGCAAAGTTTCTAAAAAAATTTCCCTAAAAATGGACATTGAATTAAAAGCAAAGTTTCTAAAATTTTCTCTATATTTGTGCATTAAATTAAATGCAAATCTTGTATAGGATTTCCCTAAAATTGTGCATTGAATTAAAAGCAACGTTTCTAAAAAAGTTCCTTAAAATTGTGAATTGAATCAAAAGCAAAGTTTCTTAAAAAGTTATCTAGAAATGGGCATTCAAATAAAAACAAAGTTTCTAAAAAATTTCCCTAAAAATGGGCATTGAATTAAAAGCAAAGTTTCTAAAATGTTCCCTAAATTTGTGCATTAAATTAAATGCAAATCTTGTATAGGATTTCCCTAAAATTGTGCATTGAATTAAAAGCAACGTTTCTTAAAAAGTTCCCTAAAATTGTGAATTGAATCAAAAGCAAAGTTTCTTAAAAAGTTATCTAGAAATGGGCATTGAAAAAAAATCAAAGTTTATTTAAAAGTTCCTTAAAAATGGACAATGAATTAAAGGCAAAGTTTCAAAAAACTTTCTTCAAATTTTTGCATTGAATTAAAAGCAAAGTTTCTAAAATAAGTTCCTTAAAATTGTGCATTGAATTATAAGCAAAGTTTTTTATAAAAATTCCTAAAAAGGGGCATTGAATTAAAAGCAAAGTTTCTAAAACAATTCCCTAAAAATGGGCATTGAATTAAAAGCAAATCTTCTAAATTTGTTCCCTCAACGTTGAAATTATCAATTTAAGCTCGAATTACAACGAAGAGAAGATTAAAATATCTAGATTTCATGAGAAACTTACGACTTCAAAAAAAATTTTGCGTTAAGAGTATTACAAGAAGATAGTTTTTTTTAAAGAAATTTGAAAACTTTTCTATAAATTTATTATAATTTGCTCTCAAACAGAATATAATTTTTTCCCATTGCAATGTACAAAACCAAAAACTTCATATGTAAATATAAATCGTCCTCCACGAGCTGATCATTAATTTACAATTAGTCAGTAGTTGCTGACCAAATTTATATCAGCTCACTCATAACATCCAACCCGCACTCAAATGATTCAAAATCCATTACAATGATGTTCAAATGATTTAAAATCCATTACAATAATAAGTTTTCCGGTATTATTTTATTAAATTATAATCAAATATAATTGATTATAACTTTTCCGAAAGTTTCTTATAATCTCTTATAATCAATTATAATCTACTAGAACAGATTATAATCCCTTCTTCCGTCGAAAGATTATTTCACAAGAAAAATCAATCATAATGGATTATGATCAGGCTATTCTGCATGAGAACACAGTAAAGTTCAGTAAAAAGTAAGAATCACTAAGCCAAGGGCGGATCTAGTATTTTCGCGAGGGGGTTCTCCTAAACCCTATAAATGTTGACTAGATTGATGCCGAGCTCTCCTAAGGCAATAAAAAGACCCTGTTGTGGTCAAACTGTATGCGCCCTAGGCATAATTTTGAACAAAAAAAAACAGGCCAAAAATGCATTTTTAGGCTTTTTTTTGAAAAATATGACCAAAAAATTGCATTTTGTGCGGCGCGCACCCCTCTCAAAAACAATATATATTAGGCGCCGTAAAAATTTTAGATTCAGTAAGCCAAAAATGAATATCTCAAAATAGTGGGGATACCTCAAAATAGTGGGGGATCTCAAAATAGTGGGTGGATTTCAAAATAGTGGGGTGATCTCAAAATGGTGGGGGAAGGATCTTTTGGGTTGGATCAGTTGAGATCTTTTGGGTCGGCAGCAGGTCAAGTCCCTGAGGGGGGACGTTGGCCCCCTGACACCCTCTTCCTCCATCCGCTGATGACTATAAATACAAAATTACAGTTTCTTTTAGCTCGGTAACCAACTGAAAAGCACACAAAACAAGACAAAACTAAAACAAAATGAAGCGATGAAGTTTGTTGAATAATAATGGATTGTAATAATCCATTATAATGGATTATAGTTCAATAAAAATTGAGAAAAAAAAACGTTCATAAACTAATCGATTATAATCGATTGTAATCGGTTATAAGGATTCTCATTGTTTCGAAAAATAGTAACAATATAATCCATTTTTATTCGATTATAATCAATTCTTTTTGAAATTTATGGAAACTGACAATAAAAATCTATTATAATCTATTTTTTTCTCTTTTTACTGAGTGTGGGAACGTATATGACATGACTCATCAAGGTGAAATTAGTAGTTGATCCCCGAAACAATTTTTAACTGCCAAATTTGTTGAAATAAGAATTATTGGCCTAAAAAATCTCTTTGTTTGGAATTTTTTGTCCGAAATTCGTGCTGTACACTATTGGTAAATTTTGCATGAAAAATTTGAGAAAAATATTTTGCAACTTTTTGGTGATTTTTTTTCTAAAAAATATCAAAACGTCACTTTTGGCCTGTTTTTTCAAAATTTTGCATGCAGTGCTGAATTTGTTTTAGAAAATAGGTTCCTTATAGTGTTTTCGGAGAGCTCGGAAAATCAAATCGGTCGATCTAAGAAAAGGCACGCCCTTGGAAAATTTTCTGCGCACGCCACTAGCTCTAATATTTCTTCAATACAAATGTCATTTTGCTCAAACCCTATTTTGAATATCCATCAAAATGGCGCAAGGTTCCGAAAAACAGGCATGTTATGCTGCAGTTAACATGGTGCATGTTGGTACGAACTGGAAGCAGTTCTATAGTATCAGATAAGTTATAAACAGTTGCTTGTCGTAGTGGTTGTTAATTATAATTTGTAATGTGTGTCGTTGTGTGTGTTTGAGATGTTCTCTGTGGTGACGACAGTGACCCTTTCTCACAATCTGGCTCTCAGTCAGGAACAGATGCTGGACAACTTCCGACTGCAGACGAACCGCCAGGAGCAGATAGACGGCATCATCAGTGAGTATAGTTACAGTGGTCACACACACACGCACAGTAAAGGGAGAGAGACTGTTGTTTTTTGCTACCCGAGTCGAGATTTTTCACCTAATTTGAAGCAAGATTTGAGCGGTTTGAGCGGTTTTTGAACGGTTTATCTAAAAAAAACCGCTCAAAAACCGCGCAAGTGCCTCCCGCGACCTTCACTAAAAGTGTAGAGTGAGTTCTAAAGGTGTCTATGGCCTTGAACTACTAAGTTGAATAAAATACGAAATAACTGGATGGTAACAGAGTTCCTTCTGTTCTGTTCTGTTCTGTTCTGTTCTGTTCTGTTCTTCTGCTGCTGCTGTCAGGAGTGTATGTTCTATAGGGCGAGTGAGTGAGTGGAGTATATGTGTACACTATGATTGTATTGTAATGTGTATTGTGTATTGTGTGTGTTTAGAGTATGCGAGGTGTGCCATCATAGTGTCTCTGCTGCTGTCCCTCTCAACTGCATTCGCATCTGTCGCCCTCCTCTGGGGCATGAAGAAGGTACATCACAAGACAACACTCCCACCTCCCCCTCCCCCCTCTTCCTCACCCACTCCAAAATTACACTTGTTAAGATATTAGTCGTCCAACTCCACTAGTGTAGTCTAGTCTAAGACGACCGACAAAAAATCACCCCCTCCCCTCCCACTACCTAAAGCAACGCAAGTCAAGGTAGCACCACCCCCTTTAACGAACTTTTATCTTTCTATTTTCGACAGTGGAGATAAACAGTTCATTCGATGTGGCCTCAATTCATAATCTGTTTGGGAGAAGCTGTATTACGCAGCTGATTAAATCTGGCTGCGATTGTATTACCATCCCACACTCTCAATCCCATTCGCCCTCGAAACTAATTGAACCGCAACTCATCCTCAAAACTCATTACTCTCTCTGCCTACGTCAAAACACATTCCAATTTCCCTCTCCCACTCCCTTCCCGCTTTCTTTCTTTCCCCCTAAGGGGGGCTAATGGGATCAGACCTCCTTTTCCAATTTCATACTCGAGGGCCAATACACCTGAGCCCCAACAGAGAGAAGGAATCTTTAGAGCAGCACAAGTGAAAGCATACTTGTATAGACGCACCTGAGAGAAAAAAAGGGAGAACTTTTGCATTTTTTCTTTTGTTTTAACGTTTTTCCTATTCTTCTTTTCTGTTACTGATTTCAGCTAAGTTATATTTTGATGAGATCGATAAAGAGGGAAAAATTAGGAGATTGATTATTATTTTGCGGGTGCAGCAAAGTTTAATTTGGGACGTTGAGGCTTTTTTCATTCTATGGTAATGTTTGTTCGCCATTTTTTTTTCCATTTAACAAATATCCAAAACAACGAAAGTCATCCTCATAAATTACGTATGGCAATCACTCAGGTAAACTCCACTTATTGAATTGCGATGTAACGTATTGCAATTCATATCAGATTATGAAAAAAAAACGTAAATTTTTTGCATACGGCAGAAAGCGTTTACTTTGAAAAAATTCAGTGGTTGAAAAATTTGCCCGTATTCTGCCAGATTTGAGTTTATCTTAGCATATAAATACACTAAAAGATTCTGAATGCCCACAAAAGAATCATTGTAACTTTTGGCGAATAAGTGTAAAATCTGATTCAAGACTACGTTATAGACAGAAAATATATAATTTTGCACAGCAGCGTAGGCGGACGTCTCTTTTTCAGAAATTTCAACCCTCCACTGCTCAGAGAGTCCCCCTTTGGTACTATTGCACGACACTCCGTTGTAGTTGATCAACCCTTACTACTTTTGAAGGCACGTTCGGCATTAATGCATAATACTTTTGTGGGGAGGGGGACTCAATTTTTTGGTCAAATCCTCCCAGAAGTTGCATGAAAATGTCTTTTGAGTTTTCCTTGCACTCATATAATGAAATGTATGACAAGCAATTCTTATTTGCAGAGGTCAACTGTTTTGTTTTGGCGCGCGCTTTCCCTTTCAAGATGAGCTCATATAACGGCACCGAATGCGTCTTTAGAAAAATTTCAAGGTCCGTTGATCGAAATATTATCCCGTAAAACTATACCTCAGGTGGCCTTTGGTTGGTGAAGGGTCGAATGCAAAAACTCCCACATATCCCGCCCCAAAAAACCGCTACTGTGCCTCTATATTGAGACTTTTGGCCTGTTTCACTTAGTAACTGACTAGTGTGAGTGTACATGATGTTTGTGTTGTGTTGTGTAGAGGCGGGCGGAGTACCTGGTGCCCTGGATCTGTGTGAGTGTGGTGTCCATCCTCTTCAACCTCCTCTCCTCCACCATCTTCATCATCATAGTGTGGCCGGTAAGTGAGGACACACACACAATAATATATGACACAGTTAACATTACAGTTACTAGACACTACCAACTATGCTAACCTCACACACAAACCTAGCATCATTCAGCCACTTTTTAATGATAATGATGAAATACTATTGACAAATTTGATGTGTTTTAATTATACTTTGATGCACTTTTTGTGCTCTTCAGAATACGCTGGTAAGACATTCATATTTGAAAGGACTGAAGATAGAATACGCAAAACAAAACACACCAACAAAATCCTGCTGCTCTGAGTATTGGCACTCTGCAGCAAAACATCAATTGTTTAAATAGCGGGATTTAATCAAGATTACAACCACTGCAAGCCACACCAACCACTGCAACTAACAGGAATGCCCAAACTGAAACATCTTCTTAGCTTATAACTCGCTTATTTTTGATCACATCTTTTTTCCAAGTCAAAAGAATAAATATTTTGATTTTTTCTTGTATGATTTTTCTATTATGCTGCCCTTCGCTTTGTGTAAAACTAGTTATTTTCTCGTTTTTTCGTTTTATGCTGGATTTTGATTTTGTGATTTTGTTGATTAGTTGATTTACAAGATTGGGTTCAAGTATTAGTTGCAATAAATGGTCTGCTATTTCCACTGGCATGTGTTAGTTGACTGGCTCAAATTAGAAAGTATCACTAGGTAGTACCTGGATGCATACATTTATGTGAGTGTGTGTGTGTGTTTGCAGGTCACGAGCAAGGCGGCCTGTGTGATCATTCTGGTGCTGGTGTTCGGGTTCTACTTCCTGTGGGTGAGTGCTGTTCCTCTGTTCATCCCCCCCCCTATTCAGTGTATAAATTAGTGTTGGATTGTGTCTGTCTCTGTAGGCGTACTGTGTGGTGGTGGTGGTGAGATACAGGAAGAGACACAGACGCAAGAGCAGCATGACTGCTTCTTTCAACCACGACAACAACAACCCCCCACTCCTCTTCTCCCCACCCCCTCCTCCCCCTCATCCTTCTCAAACACACTATCCCAATGGTAAGCACCACACGCTACAAGCTATACAAGCTAGTGTGTGAAGTCGGCCTGATGCCGTTACCGAATGTGGTTCTGACATGTTCTCCAACTCCTCACTTGTTCGATGTGACACGAGCTGGGTTTGAAAACCTCCTAGGCCCTACCAACTGCCGCCATAAGACACATTACATATTGCTTCAACTGTTCATTTTGTATCATCAAATCAATCAAATACGTCCAAGCAGAATATATGCTTATAAGGTCTCAGATGTTCTTAATCTCTATTACCACCCGGAACAAAAAGGGAAATTTCGACAAACTCAGAAGAAGCAGCAGGGGTCAAGTGTGAAATTGTATTTAAGCGCTTTCAACCGTGAGCCGGAATTTACGAAAAGTTTCGAAAAGTTTTTCCAGTGTCGAGAAAAGTTGGTCTAAATATTTAAATTTTCTAGACTAATTTTCATGATTACAAAAGGAGATTGTGAGAGGACGATGAGCGAGACAATGAGCTTTCCATCTACTTCTACTGCAATTTAATTGCATGCTACAGCCGGCTATCCTTGTTATCTGAAGTCTATTTGTTTCTACAGGTGGTGTGCAGTTTAGCCAGAATGGGATGAGCCAGTCGGTACTCTACAATCAACACCATCACCATCCACACCCTCAGCCAGCTATTACAGTGACCATGCACCACTCCTCGCATCCTCCCCCTCTCATCTCCCCTGCTGCCCTACAACCCCCACTGCCCCCCTACGGTAAGAGGAAACACAAACTAAACTAGTGTTCAGATTATGCTAGACTAAGGACAAGGTCTCAAAAAATCACAGCTAAAAAGAACACTATTGATTCCTTTTTTGATGATAAAGAATGTTAAAAATCTTAATTTTGGTGGCATGCACCATTGCATCAGTCTCCTCATTTAATTGAATCAACAGCAGAACCGTCAGAGCTTTTTCTGTTTCAGAGCCAGCGGTCACTCCCTTACCCCCACCTTACTCCATAGAGCCCAGTGCGCCTCCCCCTCCTCCTCCTCCTCCTCCTCATGCAAACTCTAATCCCATTCCTTGTCAACCCAGCGTTCCTGCTGTTCGTGCTGCTCCTGTACCCCCTCCCAGTTCAGTCTCTCTTAGCCGACAGCTGCAGAGGCCAATGCAGACAGAGTGCAGAATGAACACTGCACAAGATCCAACTGGCATCTCGGCTGTGTGAAATATAACAATCAATCTGTCAGACAGCAATCCAAACAACAACTCAAATCTAGATCTTTTCCAACCTCTGTGTTCTGTATAACCGAAATAAAATTATCAAATTAAATTTTTGTTAATGAATAATTTAGCTCTCTCGCAAAATATAGATTCTTTCTATTTTTCTATTCCTTGGTCTTTCATTACTGTGCAGAACTATGTCACACAGGGTTCAACATAAATGTGCTCATTTAACACCGTATTCAGTAAACAAGCTTTCATGCTCGTAGATTTGAAGCTATATTATTTTGGTGGTGGGGAATCTACGGACTCCAGGAAAACGCGCTAAATCGCGTGTGCTGCTGGTTCCATAGTCACCATTTGTTTTCTTTTTTGAGATTGTCTCACCCTTCTCACTCAGAAATACTCCTCGGGAATGTTGATATCGGAAGTTTTTATTGCCTAGAGCCACGAATGCACTGAAAGGTGTCGTCTGAAATCCCGCTGATTCGAAGATTCACAGCCTATGATTTGAGATACCCGGCTAAATGTCAAGACTTTGGATTTAGTTTATGCCCAACGCTCGACATGATAAATGTTTATATCTTCTGTATTCTATATACGACTTTTTGTGTGCTACACAAAACCATTTAATGAAAATGAAAAATATAGAAAGGGTAAAATTGCGAGGTATCACTGACCTCTGAAATAAACGATAACTATAAAGTTGTCAAAACTTTGAAATTTCAATTGAACAAAACATATATAGATAAATGAGAAACACTTATATTCGGAAAAAGAATCGAAGTTAGCTTTATAGTGAAATATCAAATGGAAACAAATTTTATGCCTTAGTTTTACGCTCAAAGTAGAAAGAAATTTGACTTATACTGATCCAATTGTAAAATAGTTTTTTTACAACAATTAAATTCAAATTGATCACTTGTTTAAACATACATGCTGCATACTGTTACAAATTGAACTTATCATAATAAATTAAAAATCACACCGGCATTTAAATATAAAAATACACCTTAAATATAAAAATAAATATGAAGGAAACAATACTATTTATTAGTGAATCTCGAAAAAATCTAAATGATTTATCATTTATTAATTTTTTTCGTGTACTTCTATCAAAAAAATTTTGGGTTAAAATTGAATTTTTGTGTAGATTTTCTTTTTCTCAGCTTTACAATTTAAATTGTTTCATATATTACAACTATTGTTTGCTACAGATTTTTTCCCCAATTTGTTTTCAAAAACTTACTTATTACTGTCTTACTTGTCTTCTGTCTTACTCTCATATTTGTTTTGTGCGTTCTTTTAGTTTTACAGGTACTCTGTTATAGATAAACTGCCTACCGTTTTCAGTTGTCTTAAAATTTTTGCCACTTCAAATATTCTAGTCAAGCTATGATGGTTAATGATTAGTTTGATTGGCAAAATTTTAGAGTTTAAAAGTAGATCACGTGCACGACCATATTTTCTGCGGAGATAGCACACTTCGATTCCACATTTATTTTGTCTATTTAGTCTGGTGAGCTGAGACATGGGGTAGATTTTGAAAAAAAAAGCTGAACTAAAAGATAAATGTGACAAAACTAGCTATCTGAAAAGCATAACTCTTGCTTCTAATGGTACCATATGTCGCACAAAGTATAATGACTTAATTGAAAAAGCAATTTTGCTGAAGCATTTGTCTAATTCAGCTGAAAAACTGCAAATAGTTAGGCCAGTAAACTCAATACAACGCTTAAAATAGTTAAAAATTTCAGTTGAAACTATGAATGGATGTCATCATAGTATCAAATTTAATCTCGCGAACGGTAGTATTTTTTACAGCTTACTTTTGAATCGTTGTTGAAGCTGTTTTATGGCATTTTCAATCCCAAAATCTTTCAAATGTTTAGTGATATACTTTTCTGTGCGATGTTAGTTGTTTTCCGAAGAATAACTTGGCATTGTTTTTTTTTCAATCGAATAATGTCACTTTTTGAAGCCGGTTGAATCAGAACCGTTCTGGAACGAAATTAAGTAGGTCCCAAGTGTCGATCACACTTGAAAAATAACGATTCTCTGTCGAGACATTTTTTTTTAGTCCAAACAATCAATCCACCAATGACCAGTTTGTTTCGAACACATTGAAAGTCTGGTGATTTTTATTGAATGGTCACTTCGATTGAAAGTTTTCAGTTTTTGGTCGAACTTAGTCTCAGCATAACATATCCATATACGTTCAACTCGGCGGAATAGTTAATTTGCCCCGAGGCGCTCAAAAAAAAACAGTTCGTTTCTGATCAGTCGCTTGAAGACTTAGTCTAATATCTCGACCCGATTAGTGAAATTTCAAAAAATGACTGAAAGAGTCAAGGAATATTCTTCTTTTTAAAAATATACAAATATAACAAAGTATCAAACCAAGCTGCACAACCATGTGCTTTGTCACAAACATGTGCTTATTCATGTATCGACGTCGTTATCATGATGAAGAGGAGTCTGCTTAGGCTGAGTTTTGTTCGCGAAGTGGGAATTGAGGTGAGAACTTAAAAGAACTATCTGGCTGTGATTCTTGTTCAGTGGTTTGATCGGCAGTGCAGTAGTTGTGATCATCATCATCATCATCATCTTCATCATTATTGCCACTGTCATCATTCTTATGGCTTCTGTGGCTGATTCCCTCTCCTTTTTTGTGTTTGTTACTACTCTGCTGCTGCTGCTGTTGTTGTTGTTTGTTTATGTTGGGCAGGTAGACTGACAGCAAAGCTCTCCGGCCGTTCTTCTTCCTCTGCACCACCCGCAACTCCGTCTTGCCCAGTCCCTGTCTCTTCTGGGTCACCTCCACCCGCTCCCGGTCATGCTTCTCCGCAAAGTCCAACAGCTGAAACTGCAACAAAAGAAATGATAACAAAGATAGCCGGTTGCTGTGCAGGTAACACAGAGTGTTCCGAACATATTGTTGAGAAGCATACAAAAATTGTTTTTTTTTTCAAATTAGTGTAGTTTTTTTCTGCCTGGTGTAATAAAAGCTTCTGAGAATGTCCTTGATTTTAGGCATATTCGTCAATCACTGAAAACTAGGTAAATTGGGTCTTTGTTTTTACAACAAAAGACCACAAAAAAATCATTAAGAAATCAAAAAAAATCCATTTTTTTTCAATTGTTTTGCTGATATGTTTTTGAGTTAGTGGAGTCTTTATTTCAATGACCGCGCTGAATAAACTTTCAGAAATATTTTTAAAGAAAAAAAAACTAAATTTTCATGATCTATACATCTGTGAGGGGCTACCTATTGGATGTCAATCATTTTAGTTGCTATCATTTTTAATCATGCTCATCTGAAAGTCTGTCTTGTTTACGCTGACTTCTATACTAGTGTCTGGAATTAACGTTCAGAAATACAGTTCAATTAATTACTACCGTTTTACTATCTCTTATTATGGCGCAGCCATCAGATGGAGAGGGAAAACCCCTTGGGAACAGTAGAATTCTGGCCTCTGAATCAAGTGGATCCACAATTGTTGTGGGAACACTGGAAACAACGAATTCACTGGGCAATAGTGGCCAAGCATGGGCTGGTCTCATCGGACTACTACTTTGAAGCATCATTAATGGCTGCACGAATCGGCGCATTGGGGAATGTCGGAGGAAAATCAAGGGAAGAAAGGGAAAGGACTCTGATATCCAATTTGTACTTATGCCTAAGACACGAGGAACAATGCGCACTGCACAATCAGCAGCCACACTTGGATATGGAAACAATTCGACATCCGCGTTTCCTCGACATATGCCTAACATTCTTTAAAAAGGAACATACCGCAACATATGAGATGTACCAAATATTATAAAATGTCTGCTCGATTATAAAATTGAGAAATACTGGCTAAAATGTCAAAGATTGTCTGGAAAAAACCACCTCGGGCACTCCAATTCCGTCACTTTCTACGGGAAAATTTTTTGAAAACTGATCTTTTTCTAAGTCGAACAAATTGATTTTCTGAGCTCTCCCAAAGCAGTACAAAGACCCTGTATTGGCCAAATTTCTGCGCTTCAGGCAAATTTTTGAAAAAGCAGGCCAAAAAGGTTGTTTTTAGGCAATTTTTGAAATTTTTTGACCAAAAATTGCGTTTTTTTCGGCGAGCGCTTCCCCCTCAAAAGTAGTATAGAAAAATATCAGGGTCCGTCAGCCAAAAATGGATATCTCAAAATAGTACAAAGGGGGACCCTTTGGGTCGGCAAGGGGTCGAATTCCTGAGGAAGGGGGCGAAACCCCCCCTAAATCCGCTACAGTGTAATTTGTCAAAATGTTTAAAACCAAAACGGCCCCAAGCTATAATTAAGGTGTAATGGGAATATTCAGGGTTTTTCAGAGTTACGGGGCAGTCCTGTTTAATTCTATGTGCAGATCTATCAAACAGAAGCATGGGTGTATATTTTTCACACAGCGAGTTAGATTTAGATTTGAAGCAACCAACACCTACCCATTCTTTCTCTGAGTAAATTTTGGTTATTCGATTGGTGATTACTACCAACTAAGTCAGGTGGTGTGTTTACCTGTGCAGTGGACACCCTCATGTCCTCATCCTGCTGCTCTTCAGTCTCATCCCCCTCCCAGTCACTTCTTCCCCTCTCCCTGTTCCCTCTGATGTTTCCCCGCCCTCCACCCACCCCCCTGCTGTTCAACACACTCCCCCTCCCCTTCCCCTTGGCCCTCGCATGGCCCTCCGTGCTGCTGTTGCTGTTGTTCTCCCCCACTGAGGTCATGTGGTGCAGCTGTTCCCTCAGGTGTGACGGCATCATGTACCAGTGCTCGAACACCTACACACACTCACTCATAACTCAGACTACAATCAAGGTCTCTTTTGGTTAGATTTCAAGCTAACTTCTTTGGCCGAGAGAGTCGAAACTTGAAGCAAGTACCTCGAGTGTAGCAGGCAGTCATTACCTGTCCCGCTGTTTTTGAGTGCACTGCTGATGGCCTGTCTTAGAATGTAGTCTTCACTCTTGGACAGACTGTTGTTGGCACATCCAGTAACCAGCACTCCTCCCCCTCCCCCTCCTCCTCCTCCCACTCTCCTGTGTGGATAGGGGTGATGGGTGTGGGGACGTCTGCTGCTGGAAGTGTCTGCCCTCCTCAGAGCACACTCAGCCGTCCCACATCTAGGCGTCATATCTGAAACATTGATCAACTGCACTGAAGTGTTGCGCGATGACTTGATTACTATTTTAGTTTCTATTGTAATTATATAGATGTATAGTCATTCAGTCCGGTACCTAATCTTGTAAATCGAAATAGAGCTCCCGAGTCGAGGATTCTAGCCAATTGTTATACAAGATCTGAGCGGCTTGAGCAGTTTTTTAGACAATTCCCGTACCCACAGAAAGCTTCTTATCTTGATAGAACTTTTATGTAGGTATAATCTAACCAAATTTTTGTTTTCTGTATAGAAACTATATTTTTCATCTGACAATAGAAATATTCAATTTCTAGAAAGAATAACTTAAAATCAGCTCACTGCTGAACCGCAACGAGATAAACGTTCATTCTAAATGTTTTGGACATACACAAAAGTCGTAGCAATACATTGCAAATTAACACA